GAACAATAAACCAATTGCTTCAGCTCCAATACGCCAGGCCGAAGGTGAAGTCGTACAGGTTTGTGCGGCCCTCCATGCCACGACTGCAAGACTCGAACTTTATCAACCAAGGGTACCATATCGTGAGAGCCAAGGAAGTAGTCGATCGCCGAGGCCGAACTCGACATGATGCAGGTGTGCCGCGTGGGGACTACCGCGATCAATCCAGCCTTGCGAGTGAAGCCCGACTCCTCGGGGGCCTGGGGCTCCACATTCCAATCAGCTCCCGCTAGGATGGTGCCAGACGGCTTAGACACGCTCGAGCCCAACATCTTTAAGATATGCATGTTGGCCGCGTCAAGGCCCACTGCACAAAAAAAGTACGCAGAGTACACCGTGAGCTCGGGCCAGCCAGGGATGTCGACCTGGACCGAGATCAATCTGCCACGACAAATCTCGCCCCCAGTGGGATTCCACCTTAAGCCCAGTTCCAGTCGAACAAGGACGGCAACCCCAGCAGAGTGCTAAGGAAGGCAGGATGGGGAAGCACATCTCCCCTCCCGTCACAGCTGTACTTACGCATCTACTACACACAGCCGCCCATCAGCCTACCCTGCAGCATCAGTTGCTCGGGCTAGCGCCGTCCTACCTAGGACGGACTGCTGCAGTCATCGAAAGAAGGATGGCTACGGCTCGGGCTAGCTGTCACAAAATGGATCCGACAGCACTTGAGGCAGCGATCAGGACCCATACACCGTTGGTCGAAACCACGTGGTTGGACGATTTCACAGGTTGGCACCGCCTTGGGACCCTCCAGCACCTCTGACGGCATATGTCTGGTCCAGCGACAGTCTTGGAAGGACGTGTGGGAAGGATGTGACGGCGAACCCCCCCCCCCCCCCCCCCCCCCCCCCTCCTCACCCAGAGCGTTCATGACGATGGCGATGGTGACCTCATCGTCGAAATGCGCGGCCTATGTCAGGCTGGTCCACGTATGCCTCCCTTGAGCATCGAAGCCCTTCGGCAAGCGACACGGAGTTTCTCGGGACGCACGGCCCTTGGGCCAGATCAGTTCAGACCTCGACATTGGGCGTTGGCCTCCAACGGGGCCCTGGCTGTCTTGGGGTACCTACTACATCTACGTGAGGCCTTTGGGACGTGGCCCACGGGCATTAGACGCGTACACATCATTCTGCTGGGCAAACCGACGGGTGGATACCGACCTATTGCGTTGCCCCCATCCATCTACCGAGTATGGGCCCACGCCCGACTAGCCTGGGTCAGGGCGCGGGCGCCCCGTCTAGATCGCCAGCATCTTGCACTTGGCCCGCAGCGATCAACGACGGACGTTGCAGCTCGCGTGATGGCAACAGCAGAGGCAGGTGGACATCTGCGACCAGAATCGCAGGCATCAGTGCACGCGATCGTTGGTGCAGCAAAGTGCTTTGACAAAGTGCCGTGGCTGCGGTTGCTGCGTGCGGGGGTCCAGCAAGGCTTTCCTGGGCCACTGCTCCTCCTCGCATTTCGGATATACATGTGCAGCCGACGTTTGGTATGGGACAATTGCGACTCGGATATCGTGTGTGCGCAGTGCGGTGTATTACCAGGATGCTCGATGGCCATGCTCGCGTTGCAGTGTATCATGATTGCCCCCTTCGATCACCTCACACGCAGCACAATGGACATACCACGTAGCATCGACGTGTATGCGGACGACATTACAGTACACGTATATGGCGTACTACGACACATCGGTGCATGGCCCCAGCGGGTTCTACGGCTATTGGTGCAAATACTTAAGGCCCTAGGGCTCCCTCCAGCTGCCCACATGACGAGGCTCACTAGCTCCACCCCTGCGTTGGGAAAACATGTGGCCTATCAGCTACGGGATCTTGGGTACGTCTACGCGGAGGCATTGGAGGTTCTTGGGATCGAGGTCTCGGGACGCCCAGTACGCTACAGTAGGCTTCGACAACGTGTGAGGGATGTGGCCAGTCGTCGACCGCGCTTTATCTCACTGCGCAGAGCTGGTCCCCTCCTCAGTCGTTTCCACAGGCAGGCTCTCTCACCAGCCTTGACCTATGGGCTAGGCGTGCACGGAGCCCCCACACACACAACACACACACACGACTTGTCGAACACATGCGGCAGGCACAGCGAGGTGTGTGGCACGCCCCAGGCTCCAGCACATCGTGTTGGATTACATCATGCCTCCAGGGATCTATTTTCACTGATCCCCAGGTGGAGGCCTGGGCCGCGCCGTTGTACCAGTGGTCCCTCCTGTTTCGCGATCCGCAGGTGCCCCATTGTGTCTTGCAGTCAGCATGGCTTCGCCAGATCCAGAAGATCTATCACTCTCCCCACCCGTGGCGGCACGTGTCGGGTCCCGCTGGTGCCACAGTGCTTGCACTACGAGAGCTCGGTTGGGCCACTATAAGCAGCACCCTTTGGAGGACGGATCTAGGGGTTCGGATCAACGTTCGTGATGAGGCGCCGTCCACCATCCGTCAGCTTGCTAGAGATGCTGGAGTGCGACGACTATGGGAAAAGTGGGCCCGACGGCCACCTCTCCCAGAACACGATGCCATTCCTCGGGAGCCTATTGGATATTGGACCGAGCCAATATTGCAGATCCTATCCAAGGTTGAACTACACGAAGGCGACGACTCAGGGGATGAGGACGAGCAAGGCGATCCCGATCATGAGGACGATGCATGCCCGACCCCGCCCCCTGTTGGACCCAACCCTTTTGCTGACAAGTGGAAGCCCTCCCTCAAAGAAGCAGGCCTCTTACGTGCGTATCTGGGAGGCGGTCTTTGGAGCCCATCCAGGCTTGCGAAGTGTGGATACAGGGACACGGACACATGCCCTCGGTGCACGGCGGCATCATGTGATTTGTATCATATTGTGCACGAGTGTCCAGCACTATATACACAGCGTCAGCTACACATGTCTTACATTCGCACGGAGGGATTCCCTAGGCAAGTGCGTGACTCGATGTTATGGTCGGCAGGACTCGTCTCTCGCTCATGCTTCCCACCGCTACCACCACGGGACAGCACTGGGCACTGGCACATCCAATATGGCGACCCGCAAGAAATCACAGGAAACGTGTACACAGATGGTGCGTGTCAGCGTATGTGGTACTGGCCTGAGGCCAGACGTGCAGGCTGGGGTTTCTGTCAGTTGAGTCAGCCGCCTCCAGGGGTAGATATTCTTGTTTTTGGGGCTCTCCCAGGCCCCATACAGTCCTCGCCCAGGGCCGAGCTTTTCGCTTTCCTGCAGGTCCTCCAGGTTTGCCTCCCCCCCGTTTGTGTGCACACCGACTTCAAAGGCCTGGTTGACGGCCTTGCCCTTGGAGCCCGATGGTGCTGCTCGCCTCGGCGTTTAAACGTCGACCTTTGGGAAAGCATATGGGCCAAGATTTCTGACCTGGGCGAGGTGGGGTCTGATGTGCGAGTTACCCTAGTTAAAAGGACACCAGCAGGGCCAGAGCACCGATGCCCGAGGCAACCGGTAGGCCGACCTTGCTGCGCGCAATGGCAGAGACCTCCACTCCATCCCCAGAACGCTGGTCAAAGCTATGAAGCTTGGCCGCCAACATTACACTCGCATCCTGCGATGGAGTACTACTGCCCTGGGGCTTTTCTTTGGCGAACAGCGGGTTGACACTCGGCCCCGCAAGAAAGCCTGTCGGCGCCCTCGGCGAGCCACAGCCCCTCTGGAGCCCAAGGAGGAATCGGTTCATCTGGGCCATGTTTTCACCCAGGTTCCCCATCGCAGCATTTGGAGATGCGAGTTTTGTAGGAAGGGCTCGAAGCTAGAAAGGACCCGTCGTCGTCTCTCTGTGCTTGCCTGCCCTGCTCGTTTGCGTGCTGCTGCCGCCATCCCTCGGCACCCCTCCACTGTCACTCCTCCTGGACACGCTGCGCGCGCCCAGGCTGACAATGAAGGGCAGATGCCGACGAATGAGGGCAACAGCTTCGGCGCTGCCGTGCGATCTCGCCCCCCCTCGGACTCGTTTCGCTCGGTGCGTCCTCGGACGGTGTCCCCCACGCGTGGCCAGGAGAGTGTCCAAGGGGAGGCGGATCCCCCCCCTCCCTCCTTGGGCCTGGGTAGCCCTTCCTCGCCTCGCCCCCGCAGCCCCTCCCCTGGCTTTGAAAGACACGTCAGGCCACGCGTGGGCTTCGAGCCCGTCGCTGTTGCCTGGGATGGAGCTGCGAGTGCCCAGGCTGATGCCGCTGCCAGGGTTCTTTCTTTTCCAGAGCGCTCGGGACCCACCTTCCTCCCAGACAAGCGGAGGCGGATCGGCTCCAAGCGCCCAAGTCGGCCCTCGCTGGCCGACACGACAGTACCAGCCGAACCTATGCCAGGAGCGGGCCCCGTTCCTGCCACGGCCGCTCGCGGCCACAGGCTCTGGGTTTCCTCGGGTCATGTTTGCCTGTGCGTTTCCTGTGGGGTTTTCACGACGGGCACGGCTGGTCACCTCCTAATTGATTGCCCATCGGGGAGCACGCATCGTCTGTCAGAACGGGCGGTGCGCAACCGACGCCTCTTCATGCAGGGTTTTCATCCTGCGGACGAAGGAATGTAGGGCTCACGTCGAGTTCCCGCACCTCGTCCGCTACTCGTCTCAGACCCTGAGACTCACTGGGTCAGGCTCCACGGGAGCCCACCTTCTCACCCAGGTTGCGGGACTTAATCCCCCGTCTCTTTTGTCTGTGTGGCTGGTACCCGAGATCCTTTGGTGGGGTCCCAGCCTCTTCACAGGCCAGCCAGGCTGCCAGCAGCTTGGCGCCCTTGGTGGGCGCTCGTGCTCAGCGCGACGCTTCCCTCGGCAGTGCCGTATCCTCCTCCTCCTCCCCCTCCTCCTCCTCCTCCTCCTCCTCCTCCCCCTCCCCCTCCCCCTCCTCCCCTTTCTCCTCCCGCCGACAAAACACGCTCGCCCACCCGGATCCGTGGAGGGAGGCGCCGAGCAGGGAGCGGAAACTCGGGCCGGGGCTCGGCCCGCGGCCCTCCGCCTCGAAGGCCTTGTCGAGCTGCCGGCGGCGGCCGTAGAGCTTGACCAGGATGCCCAGGGTGAAGTTCGAGGGCACGATGTTGTTGGCCTGGATGCGGCGCAGGAGGACATACCGTCGGGGCGTGGACCTAAGGAACCCCAAATGAGGAGCGAGGCCCCTTGTTCCCATGAGGTAAACTTCTTCGATTGCCCATCGACAACCTACGTAAAACGTGGGGCAAACTGTGAAACAATGAAGGAACACGGAGCCCCTCCCCAACGAAAAGGGTTCCTTCTTCAACGCCCCGACTGTACAATTAAGTCGGGCCCGTCCCGAACAATAGTCGAAACAAAACCCCCACATGGTGAACACACGCTCAACAAAGCATCCCCACACTATGTTGCAAATATGTTCGAATATCCCTCCTGTAGAGGGACAGGCCCGACTTAAACATACAAGCACACGTCGGTCGGAAGGGCAGGAACAACCATGCAACAGGAAGGCGCATCGAGTGGGTCGGGTTCAGGCCCGCCGAGAGAATGACAGGCAACAGCAAAAATGCATCGGTTCTTGACGTAGGAAGGCGCTTGAAGTATATGGGGATATGGGAACCCAAGAATACCAAATTTCAACGACCGGCGTGCATTAGTACGATTCGCTGATGATGGAGGCACACATCCGACACGAACATTTAGTGCAACATGTTTGTAGTCCATCGTTTTTCAAGCGACATTTTCAGCAAGCGCCCGCAACGGACCTTATACGACAAGACTTCCGAGCGCGCATCGCCCGTGCGGGGCCGACGCACATGTAGTGTAAGCAAGCTTTGGTGGCGACAATCTTTTGGACGCCCGAAATGGGCACGGAAACGATGGGCACAATGCCCAACAACAAATGTTGTCCCAAACCAGCAGCGGCCGCTGTTGGGCAGGCGGCCTTCTGTTTCGAATGGACACAGGCCGCGGCGGCACCGACAGCTAGTCCTGTTCAGAATGAACAGGAACTGCTGTTGGGCATTGTACCCATTCTTTCCGTACCCATTTCGGGCGTCCAGAATCTGGAGGACCGGATCAAAAAAGGGTCTGGTCAGCTTTCGGGCCGGCCGAATCCCTCCAGGTGGTGCCTGGGAGGCCCCGGCACTGTCCTGGCTCCATGTGGCCTTGGGGCGGCAGCTTCACGGCCGACTGGTCAGGCCAGTGCTCGGGCAGACCCGACGGCACGCAAGCAGCTCCCTTCGAGCCCAGCGCTGGCCTGGCTGCTGTTCTGATCCCTCCAGAGGGCAAGATCATTCGCCACCGAATCGGAACATCGGATCGAGTCGGAATAGGCATCGGACCGAGTCGAATCGGCTCGGCCGCGCCCTGCTGCACGCGAGCACCGTGCGAGCGTCGGGCCGCATGGGATCGTCGGAATACGGGAATCGAATCGGATCGATCGGATCGAAGTAGGCGCTGGAGGGCCCGCTGGAGCAGACGGACTACGGTCAGGCATGCTTGCTGAGCGTGTCGCGGCAACGGCCCCTTCGACACGCCAGGCCGTGAAAGCTGGCAGCGCGTCGCCCCCGACGCAGAAAACGCCTGACACTGCATCCTTCAAGCTGCCTCCCGAGAAGGAGCGGTGGGCACAAAAGTCTGGACCCCTTCCCGGGGACCGGTTTTTCATCCTGAACCGTTTTCTGACAGCCCCGAGGCCCGGCGAGGGCCCCTGAAGGCCGACAACAATGAAAAGCCTTCCGCCGTGGTGCTTTGCGCAGCGCGAGGGGGTCTGGGTATGATGGCGGCTTGTCCGACTACACGTCGTTTATTTCTGATAGTGCTCGTATCTAATTGTGCTCGTTTCTAGTTGTTCCTGGCACCCTGGTGGCCAGGAAGAGGCCCAGGGTAGAACAGTTAGAAATGAGAGGATCTTGGCCCCAAAAAAATCAAAGATTCTTCGAAGGATTAGACATGAGCAGTGTGTACGTCCTTGAAGCTGCCCTCCCGAGAAGGAGCGGCAGCCGCCGCCGCAGGCCCGCCCGGTGTCTACTCTTGGCCGCGCGCCCTCGGCCCCCCACCGAGACGAGCTCCGCGGGCACCGCGTGGGGCCGAGACGGACACGGGCCCTCCTCCAGCTCCTCCTCCTAGTTAGGCCTCCTCGTCCTCCTCCTCGTCCGCCTCCTCCGCCCCCGACTCTCTCCCCCCCCCCTCGCCCTCCCCCATCTGGCGGGTCCATGTTCGCCTCGTCCGCCCGCCCCCGCTCCCACACTCCTCTCTCCTGTTTGCCAGCATCATCTCCTCCTGCTCATCCCCCTCCCCCTCCTCCTCCTCCTTCTCCGCATCCTCCTCGTCCTCCTTCTCATCTCCCCTCCTCCTCCTCCTCCTCCTCCTCCTCTCCTCCTCCGCTCCTCATCATCATCATCATCATCATCATCATCATCATCATCATCATCATCATCATCATCATCATCATCATCATCATCATCATCATCATCATCATCATCATCATCATCATCATGCTCCTCACCCCCTTTCCCTCCCCCATCACCCCTCCCCCTCATCCTCATCCTCATCGGCAGCATGGTCATCAGCAGCATCAGCAGCAGCATCCCCACCGTCGGCAGCAGAATCACCGCCCCCACGACGCGGGGACGCAGAGCCTCCAT